ACATGGAGGGGATTATATTCAGTGTAATGAAACAAGGTATATGATTTGTTGAATGTAAAAGTGATGATATGCCCAGTAAACTTTCACTCAATCCACAATAAAAACCTTAAAAAAACACCAAAAACACCCATTTGATTAAAATGTTTGTGGTGGGATGTAGGCAAAAGCTGTAAAGTACTGCTCTAGATGGCTAATTACCATCACTTATAATAAAATGATGATACACATCAATTATGCCTGTTCACAAGAGCTAGTGGCCTATACCATTAAAATAAAAGAACTCTTCAGACCTCCCAAAGGACCCGTCAGGGTCGTGCAGTTTTAGGCAATTTTAAGTCCTACAATAAGAGTACCTTAAATAATATTTCAGCAGCCTAAGTCTTCATTTGCTTAATTAAGAGTTGAATCATAGGGGAGGAGGCCAATAAAACAAGTAAGAGCCCTCCAGTCAAGGTACAGAGTAGTAACAACACATGGAGTAGTTAACTGATGGCTAGGCATCTCCTCTAGGGATGCTTCTGAATATATAGATGAGCTTAAGTGGAATTTGTGCCGATGTTTTCCCTCAAACACAGCAAACAAACTTCCAATAGCAACAAAAATACCTTATCTCGGCCCCAGAACCTTGACTGTGGCTCCAAGTATTGAAGGATGTCAAAGGCAGTCTCTTTGATAATAACCGGATTCAAAATCCTAAAGTGTTTGGGATGCAGTGGAATTTTTTCCGCCACTTGCTTCCAAAAGAACAGTCGCACCCAAAATGGCTACGGAGAGAAAGAAAGCAATGATTAGGAATAGGGTGTTCAATAACACCATAGTTTCAGCAGAGAGTGAGACTACAGACACTGCTAATCAGGCCACTGCATGGTCCTGACCCCTGTGGCCTTAGGTCCTGTCTTCTGCAATAGAGTCCCCAAGACCAGGGAGAGTCTAGTACCCAACCCCCCAAAAGTCATTCTGACACATCTGATTTACCATGGTGGCATCATACAAAGAAAGGAAAGGTGGAAACAGCTCTTGCTTGAGGAATAAATCCCATTTAGTATGCCTTTTTAGAATCCAAAGGCTATGTTTGGTTCAGAGAAGACCAAGGGCACTTACCTCTTCTTCTGCCTCCTCTCTCCACTTACTCAGTTCCCTAGTCCCATGGTGTCTCTTGGTGCCAACAAGAACAACCATCCAATACAAAGTCCAGAACCCAGATAACCTGTACAGAATCCAGCCTTGGAGATAGACATTCTCCCCCAGAGAGAGTTTCTATGAAAAGTCTAAAAACTCCAATTTTTGCAGACAGCTAGTTTGTCCATGTGTATAAGTAGCTCTGGTAGCGTAGTGGTTACGAATCGGGCTGCAAACCTTAAGGTCAACGGTTCAAAACTACCAGCCGCTTCGCGGGAGAAAGATGAAGCTTTCTACTCCTGTAAAGATTTACACCCTCGGAAACCCTGTACAGGGTCGCTATGGGTCGGAACCAACTCAACGGCACTTAACAACAACATACAAATGTACACACACTCCTCCACAGTTAACTGCTAAAATCTATTTCGGTAGACAGGGTAGAACTATGAAGTAATGTATTTAACTATCGTAAAGACAAACTAAAGGGAGAGACCCAGTAAGGGCCCTTTCCTTCATAGTGGCCGCCCCTGGAATGCTGTCATTTATCCCAATGAGGGGGCCATTTCTCAGAGCATTTCTGAAGGATGTCTTTGGGAACATTCCTCAGAGATTTTATGCAGGTTTTTCTGGTTTTATTTTTTACTTTCACTGCAAAACATACGTACAACGAGCGGAACTCAATTGGACTCCTTGGTTTTCTGGGTCTTTTAGATTTTCCACCTTGAACAAGCTGCAGTCTCAGAACTCTGCTATTGCTTGCTGTCAGTGAGAAATGTTAAGAGTTTTCCTTCTCTGGCAGGTTCCTGCCTTACACAGGTCCCAGATTTCACAGGTTTTCCTGCATGTTGTTGTTGTTATGTGCCATGGAGTCGGTTCCGACTCATAGCAACCCTGTACAGGGTTTCCGGGGCTGTAAATCTTTACGGGAGCAGAACGCCTCACCTTTCTCCCGTGGAACAGCTGGTAGTTTCGAACTGCTGACCTTGATTCCTTATAACATTTGCCAATTTCACTATTTTAAGTGTGCAATTTATTGATAGCAATTGCATTAATTATGCTGTGCAACCATCCCCAATATTCACCTATAGCCTCAATAATAGTATATATTCATCCAAGAAATCTAATTTCTAGAACCAGTCAAAAGCCATGTTGATTCCAGCCTAGTGAAAAAGTGGGTGATCTGCCTCAGTAACAGCAATTTTGGCCCCAAACTTGATGTTCCCATTCAATAACCATCCCAGTGTTCGCATGTGAGTCATCATCAGGTTCTGAAGGAATTTCTCAGCAAGGAACTCAGAAGGGTTTCTGCAATGGGAGTAGTTCTGGGTAAAAGCATTCTCTGTTGGCAGTGACTTGAAAGACAACCCGTATTTTTACCTCTGACAGCGGACTCTCTAGTGCTTACCAGGGTTTCATTCTTTATCATTGCTTGAAGCCAGTTGAAGTCAACACTCTTAAATAAAACAGCAACAAACAAGTCATTGGAATAATATTCAAGGTCAGACAGTGGTGCACCCTCTGGGTAAGTCATCCTTATAGTAGTTTTATTTCCAACATGCTCTGAGTATCCCTGAACTGGTGCACTGTTTAACCTATTTAAATGAAAAACAAAGATAAATTGACAAAGCAAGCCACCAACTACCCTCTCTCACCACACAGCCACCATGTTGATTTCTCAGCGTTTCAGTGAGGACTAGGAATGTGGTTGGGAGCCATCCTTTACCAAGCCCTCCGAGAGGAAGGTGCCCCTCCCGAGCAGTCTCTTCACCCTCACAGCACTGCCTTTCCTAGAGCTTGATCAACGCAGCCTTCAGTCCACCAGGGACACCCAAATCTAATCCCTAGATATTGAACGATTTCATCTAGTCCTGCTATTCTAAGCCAGTCCAAGCACATTTCATTTGGAGCTTTCTCTGGGTATCAAGAAAGGTTCCTTGAAAGCTTCCCATTATACTCAGACATTAATAGTGCTTGACAGAATTTTGAAAAGGTCATAAAAAAGGCAACCCATGAAGTCAGGCAAGGCAGAAACAAACAGCAGTTATACAGGGCAGGGTATTAGGGGTGGGTGGCTAGAAAGAGATTGGGCCCTGGGTATGACCTGGTCTTTTTTTTTTAACTTTTTATCCTTAGAGTTTACAGGACAAATTGGATTTCCACTCAACAATTCCTACACAGTTTGATGCGTGGTTTCGATGTAGGGGAACTCTTCCCCATTCTCCTCCCAGCATTTCCTGATTCCATTCTTCTAACCCTTCCTGACTTCTGCACTTGGTTCTTTTATACACGTTTTTAATCTTGAATGGTTGATTGTTCTAGGGAGTGGTACTTCCCTAGTGATATTTTCACCAGATAGACCTAGTATTGTCAGGCTGAAAACCAAGCCACAGGGGAAAGTTCAGTTCCAGGCCTGAAGAACACCTAATGACCACAGTGGCTCATCAGACCAGCAATGTGACCTGGCCATGAAGCAAGCATTTGGGGCACTGAAAACCATTAGATTCAAGACAGCTTTGCAAGGATGGGTATTTTGGGGGAAATTTCTAAGAACCCTTCTAAAAGTCATACTACTCAGTTTTGTAATCTCAGAAAGTCTGTCTAGTTCTTCATATCAAGGAACAAGCTTGTTTCCTCAATGTATTACATTGATTTGTTATTGCTGTTAAGTGCCGTGGAGTCGGTTCCGACTCATAGCAACCCTGTACAGGGTTTCCAAGGCTGTAAATCTTTACACTAGCAGAACGCCTCATCTTTCTCCCACGGAACCGCTGGTAGTTTCGAACTGCTTACCTTACGGTTCACAGCCCGATTCGTAACCACTAGCTACCAGAGCTCCTTATAGAGATGGGCAATTTAGACCTGAGTTATAAAATATGGTGATGGGGGGGCTATAAAGACTTGAAGTACCTGGCTTATAAGCTTTCATGAAATGCTTAGTTTCAGAACCAGGAGGGTAAGGAACGTAATCCCCATGATAGTTTCACTCTTTTCCACCAGGATCTGGTGAAAGGGGCTGAGGGGGGATGATGCTGATAGGATTTTATGACTCAATTGTGAGTAATTATTAGAAGAATTGATTGTGATTGTCACAACTGTAATTGTACAAGATGTATAACTAAAAGAGGGGAGCAGTTTATCTTTCATTTCAGGAACAAGACAATCCCAGGACCATCAAGAAGAAAGCGTCTGAGTGGAGCGTGAGATCCTACCTAGAAAAGCAGTGACGGTGGCATGGAGAGACAGAGCAGCTTCAGGTTCTAGGCCCAGGGACTGAGTAAGGCTGAGTGCTTGCAGGCAGGAGGGTGGCTGGCAGAATGTGCTCTTTGGACATTTAAATGAATAGGATGTTTTTTTTGTACGTATTCAAATATTTTTTGCTTTGTTCATTTGTGAAATATAAGATGCAAATGGGGAGACACAGAGAGGAAATAAGATAGCTGTTGTTTCAAGAAGGGGATTGTAATCACTGAGATGAAATAAAGTGTATAATTTGTTGACTGTAAAGCTGATCATCTTATCTGTAAACTTTCACTCAGTTCACAATAAAAAGTTAAAAAAAAAACTCTTTTCTGTATTGTTAACCGGAATCTAACCTGCCTTTTCTACCTCACTGCCACAGCCTCTTCTAGAGCTCGAACATCCAATTTCTGGACCGTTAACAGATGTTATCAGATATGACAACTAAATTCAATGTATGAACCTCTACCAGATTTTTTCGTTTTCTTTCTTCTTTCCTTTTTTTCTGTCTCTCACTTTATAAATAAAGTCAATCCCATTCAGTCAATCCCAACTCACAGTGACCCTATATGAGGAACCCTGGGAGTGCAGTGGTTAAATGTTCAGCTGTTAACCAACAGTTCAGTGGTTGGAACCCACCAGCTGCTCCACAGGAGAAAGATGGGGCAGTCTGCTTTTGTAAAGACTCACAGCCTTGGAAACCCTATGGCACAGTCTACTCTGGTCTAGAGGGTCACAGTGAGTGTGAATTACCAGGGTCATTAATTGTTAACATTTGAATGAGGTCCAGAGATGAGAGGGAAGCTGTCTTATCATCAGTGTTCAGTTCCTAACGTTGAGCATCGCTCTGTGTTTACATACGAGAATAGGCAGAGGCACTACACATTTTCTATACAGGGTCACTATGGGTCAGAACCGACTTGATGGCACTTAATAACAACAACTTTCCCTTGCTGGCTCACCTAAACCTACCCATTCTTCAAAACCCCATCTTCTCTGAAAGTTCTGCCAATTTCCTGCATTCTGCTGAATGGTCCTTAAACCCCATTGGTTTGGTGCAACTCTGTCTGAAGCACCCAATCCTTTTTTAGGGGAGTCCCAACTTCTCAAATCCTAAGTGTCTTCTCAAGTACTAAGTCGTTAAGTGAGGGCAGGGACCCTGCAGTGCTTCCTCTACCACTCCCTGTACCGGAAACCACATTGGCCACAGAGCAGCCAACTCCACTCTAAAGCAGAAAGGTTGGTTTTAGAAGTAGTGTACCTGATCACAACATCAAACTGGTTCAGGGCATGGCCCAGTGCTAGCCCGTTAAGTATTCCACCGCTTCCGATAACCACACAACGCCTACAACTCTTGGCTTTCAGGTGATCGGGAAAGTTGTGTTCGGGCAAGATTTCCAGGAGGCTCTGGACTTTGCTGGAGAACTTCCGAAATCCAAAAGGAGGGTCATATTTGTACTCCACGTCATTCACTTTGGCGGTCTGCTTCACAAAAGGCACCAAGTCCACACTGTACCTGTGCCCAAACAAACGTACCATGGACTGCTTCACAAACTTGGGGCGGCATTCCTTTTGCAAGACTTGCTGTGCATATCTCTGAGCTCTCTGGAATGGAATCACACAACCTCAGTTTAAGAAACTCTCAGACATTTAAAAAATACGTTATAAATGACATTTTGTCCTGTGATGTCTGACACAATTCCCTCATCATTTCATAAACATTTTTTTTTTTTTTTTAAGAGTTATTTTATAATCAGAAACTTGAAAAACCAAACCTGGGAGGATTGTATGGCAGGCAGATCAACTTAAGACTATTTCATTATTCAAGTTAAACAGGAAAACACTCCCTTTCACCTCAGTAAGTCTACTCTTATCCAAATAAATTAAGGGTAAAAGGTACTTTGAAGTGTTTAATGTTTCATATTCTGGTTCCTCTTATCTAGCAGGATGGAGAAGAAATAATCTTCCTTAAAGCCAGAGGTGGAAAAACTCAAAAACTCACTGCCATCGAGTCACTTTCAACTCATAGTAAACCTGTATGGGGTTTCTGAGGCCGTGAATCTTTATGGGAGCAAAGAGTCTCATGTTTCTTCCTCGAAGTGGCTGGTGGGTTTGAACTGCTGGCCTCTGGTTAAGCAGTCCAGTGTTTATCCTCTTGCCTTGAATGTAATCAGGTAATGATGTCATAGTAACAGAGAAGTTCAGCTGGTTTCAGGTGCAACTTCCCCAGCACAGTGATGTTTTGCATCATCCCGGAATAGCTGCTGAACACCAAGGCCACCAGCACAAAGGAGGCAAGCCACAGAGGAACACAGCATGGATGTCTATCCACCTCACAGTCCTTGTCTTGCCCAGATTTAGCCGAATACTTACTGCCTCAGAATTGCTTATTGAACTGTTCTCCTTAATCTGTGCTTTTTCTCCTGGCCTCCAGGTTCAGCATCCTTGGCTCTTCCTTACACCTCCTCCCATCAAGCTGCCTTAGTGTGTGTAGTCCTGTGTTTACGAAACACTCATGTTTAGGAGTCTAATGTGTTTTAAGCTGTGCCTGCTGTTAACTGTGCCATTACATGTATACAGGGTTGCCATGGGTTGGAACGGACTCAAGGGCACTTAACAACAACAAATAGCTAACAAGGAGCTGTGATAGTGGTTATAAGTCAGGCTGCTAATTTCATGGTAGGCAGTTCAAAACTACCACCACCACCACATAACTAACATATCTTAAAAAAAAAAAAAAATCCTTCTTTTCACCCAAGTTAATGTTTCTACCTTCTATGTTGTTTTTGTTATTGTCGTGCCGTCGTGGAGTTGGTTCTGACTCAAAGTGACTCTATATAGGATTCCTGAGACTAAATCTTTACAGGAATAGAAAGCCTCATCTTTCTCCAGCAGAATGGCTGGATTTGAACTGTTGACCTTGCAGTTAGCAGCTTGACATTTAACCCATGGTGACACCAGGGGATAATCTTCACATGGTAAACAAAATTATCTCCTGAAGTTTTCATTAAACCACACAATAGGTTAGCTTAATTAGTAAAGAGGGTCTGCCCTTTGCAATGCTCTTTTAAAGAACTACAGGCTTGTGTCATTTCATCTCCATGCTATGTTTTGTGATATAGAATGTTACATGATTTGACCGTGTGCAAACACCGTATTAAACCTCTATGGGAGCCCACTTTCAGTTGCTCTTGCTGCCACTGTTGGAAGAGGTCACAGGGGCGGTGGCAGCAACAGTGGGGGCGGAACGGAAGGAAGCGAGTGTGGAGGGAGCAGAGTGTGCCCAGCAGCAGCACCTGTTCTGCCCATGCAAGCAGCAGGAGCAGCCAGTCCCATGATTCCATGATTCTAGGTGCGGGTCCCATGGGCCCGCACTTAAGAGCCATGTCCTTTGCCTCACCTGCTTGTTACTCACCCATGATCGAGTGCTGCAAGAGTCTGGGTTTGGGATCTTTAAAGCCATCATTGCTATTAAGGCCACTGAGTCAGTTCCAATTCATAGTGACTCTATATCGGGTTTCCAAGGAGCAACTGGTGGGTTTGAACTGCTGACTGCATGGTTAGCAGTCTAATGCTTATCCTACTGCACCACACCAGGACTCCTTAAAACCACTATTGTTGAGGAGAACAAACAAGATGGCGGATCGGGTGGACATATAGCAGAGAGCTCTGCCAACAACAACACAGAATACCCGA